TAAAAATTGCTTATACATATAACGTGTATGTAAATATACACATACAATAATTAACTTAATTTTTATTGAGAAAAATATTTAAAATAACTTTCTCCTTTTATCAACTGAAAAAGTTTGCCCCCGTGTAATATAAAATGCGGAAAAAATGAAAACTATGTAGTATGTTCAGTCTAATTACAAACAGTTCCATTTGGAAACCAAATTTTCTTAAAACATACGCACAATTTCTTCAAGAAATATAAGCAAAAATAAAAAGACACTCGAACTGCAAAAAAAAAAAAGAATTATCAATCAAAAATTCACATAGAACGATCACCAAATAAGCATACAGATACACCAGTCCACCTTGCAATCCACGAAAAAGTTATTAAAAAAAAACAAAAGATCTGAAAATTGTAGGATTAACTTCGCCAACTTTCTCTATTCCAACCTCTTGAAGAGGAAAGGGAGTATTACTCATATGATAACCCGACATATATACCTCGAAACCAAAAGCTCAAACTTGTTACACCTACCCCATGCACGTAAAGTCTCTTTCGCGGAAGCTTTCGAAAGTGCTCAGCCTTCCACTTGCAGCGATCCCTTCGAAGGCAACTTGCCCGTTACCGTCGAAACCGCTTATATAGCTGTGTATATCCATATACGATGAAACGAGAGTTAAATGTCCATGAGAGCGCGTTAAACGAATGGAATCGAGCTTGGTGAAAAAGGAAGAGAGTAAAAAAAAGAGAGAAACAGAGGTTGATCGGACTTTTTCCAAAAGAGAGAGGGAGACTTACGCTTAATTAGTTAAGTGTCCATGAGAGCGCGTTAAACGAACGGAATCGAGTGAGGTGAAAAAGAAAAAAAAGGAATAGAGGTAGATCGGAACTTTTTCCAAAAGAGAGAGAGATTTACGCCTAATTGGCGTAGGGTGAATCGAATGAGGTGAAAAGGGAAGAGAGAGAGAAAAAGATAAAGAGGTTGATTGAAACTTTTTCCAAAAGAGAGAGAGAGAGAGATTTACGCCTAATTACTTAAATGTCCACGAGAGCGCGCTAAACGAATAGAATCAAGCGAGGTGAAAAAGGGAGAAAAAAAAAAAAGAAATAAAGATTAATCCCAACTTTTTCCAAAAGAGGGAGAGAGGGACAGACTTACGCCTAATTACTTAAGTATCCACGAGAGCGCGCTAAACGAATGGAATCAAGCGAGGTGAAACAAGAAGAAAAAAAAGAAATAAAGATTAATCCCAACTTTTTCCAAAAGAGGGAGAGAGGGACAGACTTACGCCTAATTACTTAAGTATCCACGAGAGCGCGCTAAACGAATGGAATCAAGCGAGGTGAAACAGGAAGAAAAGAAAAGGAATAGAGGTTTATCGGGACTTTTTACAAAAGAGAGAGAAAGTGAGACTTACGCCTGTCCTGCTCGTGGCACGATGCCCAGCAACAGGGTGGCGTCATCGAAGCAGGTGGCAGCTGTGACGGTGAGGTCGGTTGCATCGAGCAGCTCGACGCGTTCCCGCATTTTCTCAACAGCCTGGGTGGTGCGCTCGGCGCGCTCAGCTGCGACACCTGAAGATGACCGCTGTTCTTCAGCTCCTGCTTCCGGTCCAGAACAGTCTCGCTCTTCACGTAGAACGCCTTCGTCTCCTGGAGCACTTCCCTGTGGCACGTGACGAGGAAACCAGACGGCTGTAAGTGACACTCGAGTAAAAACGGTAAATAGCCCGCTTCCTGTAAACGGATAGCCGCCGCCTGCTCCGACAGATACCCGCTCGACAGGGTTAGGTGCCACGTGCGCTGGCACGAGCCTTCTTTTCATTCGCCACGGAAACCATTGTTCGTTGGTTAACCCTTTCGCTGTATTGTCCGAGTGATTATAGCCGCATACCGGTGCTACGTGATCGGTGGTATAGGGTGACCGTGATCTAAGAGTGTGCTCGATTTTTTTCTTCGTTTTGCTTAACCCCTTGCAGTATGATAACAAGTCAGACTCGTGCCACAGATTTTGGTCAAGATTTGATAAGAACGATTATATCGGTAGAAACAAATAATTTTAATTCCAATTCTCGATTTAATTTGTAAAACTGAAGATTGCAAAATTTCACCGATCCGTGATACATTAGCTTTTCTTACTTAATATCGTACTAAAACGGTAAATAGCTGACGCTTAGATGTACAGTCAGGAAAAGAAATCATACGTGAAGGGGCTGAAGGGTTAGGCTAGGTGGCGCCACCTCTAAGATTTGAAATAACTGAAATTCTTTTCTGCTTGTATCAGTAGTTTGTGATTTTAAGAATACAGTGGAACTGCGATAATTCGAACCTCGAGGGAAGGGAAAAATCTTCAAGTTATAGTCAGAGGTTTCGAGTAAGAGAGGTCATTAATAATATCGTTTTTAGCGTTTCAAATTATGAACGTAAAAAGAAGAACGTAAATCATCTTTTAAATTCGAGCAAATAATTACCAAGAATTAATACGGGAAACACTTAGAATTTTTCGATACTTGTTTAATCACTTGAGCGATCAATTTGCGAATAATTAGAATTCCAAAAAACTTAAGTTCGAAAGAATGAATTTACTTTTGTTTTCGTATGTTCCACGGTGAAAATTGCTGGTCAACGATTGTAAAATAATAAAAATTACACGGATTAGGATAGAACAAGTTTGCACAGGGGACGTAGATAATTGTCGGTTTTAAGAGCATTTTTTGCTTTGGGAAATGGGGTTGTCTAAATCCCTAAGCCGCGCTGCAAAAATGGCTGTTAGCAGTAAGAGGATTAGTGGTTCGAGTAATGGCTGGCAGTGATGCGTGTAATAATGCTTGGGAGATTGCCAATTTTCTCATTACAATTGTACGAGGGGTACTTTGGTTTCTTGAATGCTTTCCAACTGAGAAATACCGATTTGAATCTATCGATCTGAAACTGGGTGGATCTCGTTGTTTAGAATTAGTACGATAAGTAGTCTAGTATTATTGTTACAATAATAATTATCACATTATTCTCATATTAATTTAACAATAATTATATAGTCCAACTAATTAATTTAATTGCCTAAAATATTCTCAGCTCAATATTAAAGACTTAAGTATTACAGTTAATCGGTGAAGATAAATATTGAATTGTGGTCAGAATTTCGGTTAAATTTCAAAAGTTTCAGACACTTCCGAGTAATTGAGCTGTTGTAATAACACTTGTAATAGTTAACTAGTGATGTTAAATATAAATATTAAATTTTGATCAAAGTTTAGGTTAAATTTCAGACACATCCGAGACATTGAACTGTTATAATAACATTTGCAATAGTTAAATAACTTCAGTAATGGTATACCTACTGTAACTTCCTGTTTGCCCTTTCTTGCCCTGCTTTAGCGCATATTCGCGACGAAAATGGCTCTTGAACAAAGTTCCGCGAGTATGGTAATTCAAGTTTAATTAGTCTGTTTCAGTGGCAATTTATCGTAAGATGAGCGTTATTGGGGAGAAATACGAGGATAGAATCTCTATATAAAACTGTCTAACATTAGAGAAGCAGAACAATAAAGTTCTTCTACGAGACATTATCTCGACAAAGGATTTTAACGTTTCAATCAAATCATCGATCTGGATGATTTTCTATTTTATCATGCTTAATCCTACGTATTCATCGATCCGGATGATTTTACATTTTATTATGCTTGATCCTTTATATTCGAAGCTTCTTGATTAAAATTTTAAAAAATTTTTTTCTTTCAATATTCTTCGTATTTTAACTCTTTTTATTTTTCGAATAAAATACATTTCACAGGTATTCTATCCTGTAAAGAGAATTTTTTCTTTTTTTTTTTTTTTTTTCAAACATTTTTCGAAGATTCTATTTACCTACTCAGTATTTGCATCCAGCAGAGTAAACACGAAATCTCGTTTATACGCAGCAAATCGTGTTTTTCTGAAAAAATCCGATGGTATTCATCCTGCATCGGCGTATATGATATTAAGTTATGCAAGAAGATTCAACGAGATTGATCTTCGTATTCACGGATTTTCCGGAATAAATTCTTCGTCGTCGCGTGTATCATAACCTCAATCTCGATAGTTTATACGTTCGTTTGTGTATAAAAGAATATTGTAATTAAACATTCCATGAAATACGATGATAATTTAAAATGTAACTTATTCACGAAATTTCTTTCGTGAATTTCTCTCGAGATTTTTCAGGAATTTAAAATATGTACGAAAGATAACCTGTTACTTTGTGCACACCACTGTCCTCACTTCTTGCAACACGATATTGAGAGTATTTTTCAGCACTTACGCGTATTCCAAATAGCATGTCACAGTTGTGCGATAAAAATGATGTTTGAAGTAGAATATTGACAGAATTCACTCGCATTACATAATAGAAGTGTCCTCGAGTATTATACAATTGTACACATTGAACAATCGTTGCATTTCAATTTATAATTAAGTAATGATATTATTAATAATATAAATATATAACGTAATATAATATTTACGAACAATTCGAATTATCGTATTTCAATGTGATATTTATAAATAATCCAAATTATGTTATCGATAATTTGTATTAGGTTATCCCATAAGTTCGTGACGAAAGCGAAAAGTATTTTAATGAAAATCCAAGGAAATACTATAGCGACGACATAATGGTCTTTAAAAAGAAAAAGAAGAAAGTTGAGTAATGAGAAGGCAATTACGCTTTTTTTTATCAAAGTTTGAAGTTCGTTGGAAATATTGATCTGATTTATAAAATTTAGTTAGGATGACCTAATAAATTTTACTAAATTTTCTACCAAATTTTGTTTCGTATAAACTTTTTTTTAGCGTAATTTTTACAATATTTTTATTTTTCTACTTTTACAATATTGAGCAGTATATCTATGATTACGTTAGAATCTACCGCTTGCATATCGTAATTAATAGAAATATCAAAGTTTGCCAATAGCATGAGCAACAAATTTCACCGTTAATTAGCAAAGTTAAAATCGCGACGTTACTATGTAAGAAACCGTTGCTGCATACTCGACGTATGAACTTCGAGTCGAACCAAAGAGAGGGGAAGCATTTCACGTGTGAATCGAAGTGTAATGCCTATTTCGAAAGCTGTGTAAAATATTACGAATAAAGGCAACCTCGTCAATAGTTTCACTTTGACATAATTTCCGGGTAGCCGCAGGCATATCCGGTTGTGCAGTGAATCGCCGGAAACGACGAACAGAAAATAAAATTGAGTCGCTCGTTTAGGAAACGGCACGGGTAAAAATCGTCCAGCTTGTACAAGTCGATAAAGTAACAAAAGCAAAATTCAGATAATAAGAGGATAAATAACGTGGCTTGGTAACGTACAATTACGTTTTATTTTCACGATAGAAATCTCATTTATACGCGTATACAGCAGTATATTTGTAGATTTATTAACTAACCATCCGTAGGTAAACATATTTTTTCACACTTTGTAGATAAACTGAGTCGTTTGTGCTCAAGTTTAATTTTTTCACCGTTTCAAGCTTTCGAAAAATCTGAAAAAATTCTGGAGTACTTGTCAAAGTCTTTACTACGTTATACAATTATTCGTTAAGTCACTTTTCTCAATAAAAATAAAGAATGAAATTTCCCTTGGGTCATTAATGACCCAGATTACCTACGGAGGGTTAATAAATGTAAATTGTAGATAAAATAGTGCTCCTAAGTTTATAAATGATTGTACTTAAATACATCATTTATACAAATATTTATATATTACATTTGCAAAAGAAATACTATCTTTTCTGTGAAAAATGGAAATATTAAACTAGGAGTTGTTCGAATTTCTGCATTTTGTATGCAAATAAAATCATTAAAAATCGAGTGTAGTTGTTACAAAGCTATGCAAACGAAGCTGTTTTATCATTAACCACACAAAGGAAGCCTTAAAGTAACAAGAATAGTAGAGAAGGTGGAATACTACCAGATTTGAATTCTTCTTTTCAATTTTTATATTCACAAATGCTAAAAACTATTCTTCCAACTCTCTAAAAATATTTCCATATTGCTGTAATACAATACATTAAAAAAATATGTTGTTTATATGAAACATAAAATTTGATAGAAAATTGAATAAAATTTACAAATAACTAATAATATTATAATTTGAATTACTTGTAAATATTTCATCTCGAATTGAAATATAAAATTTGTTCAATGTGTACAATATTGTAATAATATTCAAGAATATCTATTACTTCTATTACCTAACGTTGGTAAATTAACAATACCCACGGAACAAATAACAAACGCAACGTTCCCAGATTTCCAATCAACGATTAAACAGAAACACGTATAATAATTTCAAAAGCTAGTCTCTACATCGTTGTATTTACCGACCGATCAATCATACTCGAGCAAAAGGAAAGAAATCAGAATGGAACTAACGAAACAGGTCAGCAACGACGTATGATGTGTAGCACAGTGAAACGGAATCGAGAACACATTTTAGCCGAGCAACGAGACTCAGTTTAAAGTGATACGGTTGCGCTGATAAACGAGAAATAACTTCGGCGACTAAACGGAAAACCCGGTTAGGCGTGTAGAAGCTTTCATGCTGATTAATAATATTTTCCCAGCGTGGAAAAACGATCCGTGGAGAAAACTGTGTTTCTGCCGGCGAACGAAAGTGTTACGGGATTAGTTCGCCGGCTGGAATAAACGAAGGACAAATTACGCGTAAGGATCTCTGTCCACCATCGAAGAAGCTTCCGTATGCTGTGCTCAGCACCTTATGAATAATTCACAATAACGCTCTAATTACGTTACGAACTTTTATCGGTGGGAATCAATTTTTCACGGTGCATAGACGTGGCTTCGTGATCTTCAATCCTGTGAGGGATGATAGTCGGAGTTACTTTAAGCACCTTGCTGTTACTAGGGTGTTCTATGACTTTGGGAAGAAGAGTGAATTATGCCATTTTTAATTTATAATTTTAACTTTAAAGATGTAGGTGCTTGATTAATTAGTAATTGTTTCGATTCGTAATTTCTTGACTATTCAGTAATCATTTCAATTTTCTGATTATTTAGTTACAAATCATTTTAATTAATAATTTTGAAATACGAATTGGTCTAATATGGGATACACACTTTTACAAGTGTTATATATTTCTATTACGAGATTTAAGCGAAGATTGAAGATTTTTACGTGGAGTAACGTTAATGGTATTTAAAATGATTTGAGATAATAATTTCCTGGATGTGGTCTCAAAGTCTGAAAAATTTCAGGTAAATTGAAATTTTATAGGTTCGATAAAGGATTGGCAGTGAAATCGAGGATAAATAAAAAGGGGTGTCAATTTCCATCGAAAGTAAGAAATACTGCAAACTCAGACAGGGTCCCTTGAAAGTTTCATAAAGTTATACATCCGGGATTCATTCACATCTGCCTCTCCCCACTATGTACTTTATTGCGTCTTTTGCCTGGTGACACAAATCCTTTTCATAGTTTAATAAAGTGACGAAAAATATGGACCAGAAAGGGTTTACTGCTTTAGTTTAACCAAAGTACAAACTAAACCACTGTTAATTATGATAACACTATTGTTTCTACTATTTCAGTAATTTCGTAGTATTCAACCTACAATGCTTCTATAATTCTCTTTCTGACTAAAAAGTACACACTTTGAAAATCCTAAAATAATTTGATCCTCGCAAAATTAATATTAGATAAAAATATTAATATCAAAAGTAGTGAATTTTTAATAATAGTATCATGATCAGAATTAATAGATTAATAAATTCTTAAATTGCACCTAATTCTATTTTTAAACAAGAGTGTAAGTGCATTGGCTCTTTGTGAAAGGAGTATTACATAATTTGAAATAGAGTCTCTATAGAGGTAGATTTTTATTCATAGACTGATTGCTACTTCATTCTTGAAAATTCATTTCAATAAATATAGCACAGAAAAATTAGATGGTCACTTCTTGATTAGTATGGTTGATTTTTTAACCAGAACCTATTACTGCATGCGATTCTATTATTGCATAACAACACGCTGGAAATTAGCCAGGCACTCAAAGTGTTAACAGGTTCCATGCCACTTGGGTCAGCGACGACAGTCAACACAAATAAAACATTCATTAGGCGAACCAAGATGTTCTTTGATGTACTGTTCAAACAGTGAAAAATGTGAAAGAGAATTAAAGCGACAAACATTCAGCGGAAAGGTTTCTTTAACTAATTATTCCAATCTAGCTTCTCCATTGCAAAATTTCCTCGTCTATGTATTATCTAGGTTAAGTATTTTAGTATTTTATGGCTTTATTCTTATATTATAAAGATTAACCCTTAATTTTCTATTTTTTCGTTTTTTAAGTTCACACATTTTATATTTAGTGATTTTCAATCTTGCAACCTAAATCTAGGGTTAAAATTGAAAGGCTAACTCTCATCAAAAAGGCTGTAAAATGGAGGATTTAGGATTTATTCCTAACCTATAATTATCGAAATATAAATTTTGTATCGATCGATATTTTTGCGATTATAATGTCGTTGAAATTAGCAACATTTATAATTCAGTATTTAAATCCCCAAGTTGATCGTAGCAATATACTCGATTATTGGATAAATTTTGTATCGATCGATATTTTTGCGATCATAATTTCATTGAAATTATCAGTGTTTACTTTGAATAAAATTTAATCATTGATTTTTTACGAATCAATAATCAAATTAATTATCTAATTAAATTCTAAGTCTCATAAAGAAGAAAAAAGCTAAATTTAGTATTACAAATTAACACTAGAACTACCAGCCGAATCAAAATGAGCCATTAGCGACTTTTCAGAAGTAAATTTTCGTGTAAGTAAACCGCGATTGGAAAATTCGATTCATATCGATACAAATAGAAGCATACATGTGAAAAATAAATTCGGAAAGTTACAAACGATAATACTTACCAGTATTGAACATTAACGTTTTTTCGAAAGATGCTAATGGTCATTTCGACCCGGTCGGTACATAGTTCTAGTGTTAAATCAAAGTTTCAATTAAAAGTAAACACTTGGTTAAAAATACAATCTGCGTTAGTTCTATTCGCATCACAATCTGTGTCACGAGTATAATTTCGCGATACAAAGCGAGAGAACGAAGAACGAAAAAAATGAACGGACCCGCGACACGTTCGAAATTTTTGCCGCGTTACGCCAATGGCGGGGCGACAGTAGTGCACGTGTACGCACTTTACACGCGCTCTCGGGTTAAAGTGTCTCGTTGGAGAGGACGAGAAGGCGAGCTCGAGCGCTAACGACGAGCATATCGACATCTGCGGCTTCTCTCGTTTTCGCGTGCCACGCATGTTGATGATAAATGACGCACGTCTGACAGGCCCCTTCGAGCTGATACTCTCGCCTCGAAACAATCAACGATTCGGTCACGATGATGATACGGCCGTGAAGGAATCGATCGAATCGAATGTGCAATTGTTTAAAATGGAGATGGAATTTAGAGTCACTTCTACCGGTAATACAGAGTGGCGTATATAAAATGCAAAATACAATTTTACAGTTTCATTTGATAATAATGTTCGAATTACACCTCGTATGGTAAATAAACGGTATTTTTAACTTGAAAATGTTTTAATTTTTGAATCAGTTACACGTTTATCAGCATTCTTATCTTTGGATGAAACGCAGCTTTAAAACTATATTTTACGGTTAGGACTGGTTTTATATACGCCATCTGGTGTCTTTAATTGAACTGTCCGATTGGTGAATTTTTTTAGTCAATGATGTACACGTGGTCGAGTATTATTAATCAAGGAAATGGTGAAGTATTTTCTTTTATTTACAGTGCGTATGTTTTGTGTCATAACACTTTCAAAATTGCAAGCACGTCTTTTTGCAAATGAATAATAAACAATAAAATTGATGGAATGAAAAAGCAAACAAAATTGTTGTAAAAAAAAAAAAGAGTCGAGTTTTATCAATAGTGTGTCGTAACACTTTTAAAATTGCAAGCAAAAAACGTATGTCTCTATGCACTGTGCAATAAAATTTACCTAACGGAACAGTAAAAACAAAATTGAACTCACGTAAAAAATATAACAGTAAACGGTACGATTTCTAACATAAGTGCAACGATTAAACGCGGAAGGATTTGAGAAACGATGTAACACAATTTGATGACAGTATCTAAGCATAGCAACGAGCAGGTAAAATATACCTGTATTCTTATGTAATAGAAGGCAAGCATAAAGTAATGGTTACGGGACCAGGGACTGTGTTCAATTAACAGGACCCAAGGCCCCATTCGCTTATCGCGACTCGGAACCGCAACCAATTAACGGGACCTGGTATAATATGTTTTTCAATTTGTCAAAAACTGCAAGCTCTTAAATCTCTCGAAACAGGAAAAGATAAATATTACGTGATAAAACTTTGAAAGAAAGCAAAACCGAACATACTAGAAATACAAATTGATTATTATATTACAAATGTATTATTAAATTATGATCCTTTCTGAATATATTAGGTGTACAAATTAATTTGGTGCCGTTTCTCGCAAACTTCAGTATTTATTTAAAAAAAAATCTAACACAATTTTAACGTTCAAAATAATCTCCATTATTTTGGACGACCTTTCTCCATTTATCAGGTAACTGACGAATTCCCTCTCTGAAGAATATGGCGGGTTTTAATTGATAAAGGACTTTGTGAAAAAAGGGATTGAATTAATTTGTACACCTAATATTTCCAAACTGTAGATATTTATTGCTCCGAATAAATGAACTCAATTTTGCAGATGAAATTTAAATATATTTACATTATTAATTATAATAGACTTTACAAAAGCTGCTGAATTTCCTTTTTCAAGCTGATTACTTTGCCAATAATAGCTCCTACTCTCCTATATTCGTTACTACATTCTTCAATTTTAATTACTGCTGGAGTTTATTTGTTAAATCCTTACAAAGAATTAATATCAGTGGAATTTAACGAATATTTTCTTCTCGAAATTAACAATAATACTATCTACGATCAATGGCTAATTTTGAGTGTGATTTAAAAAAAAAAAAACTATTTCTTCGCATAATTGTTTTTTGAAAAATTTTTCAAAGTTGATTTAAAGCTACCCGGTTTTTTCATTTGCAAAAGTTGCGTTCGTACCTCTAGCGGATCTGGTTAATTGAATAGAACGGCACAGAACCAGACTTCGTTAATTAAGTAAGAGAAAAACAAAATATAGCACAAGGAAACTTTAATAGAGAATAAAAAAGAAAGAATTCTCTGGCAGACTGTGCATAACGAAAAGTTTTACAAGGAAGAAAAAAAGAAAATGGAGCAACATATGCCAACCACGACGCAACCGCACAATCTACAGGGTAGGTTCTACCTTTCGAGAATTAAAGCATCCTCTCGACCAGTAGAACTCTTTAAGCCGCGTTCCCATGCAAACCGCTGCTGCGCGGAACGCTTGACAAAAACGTGCAGGCTATTTAGGACCGGAATAGAGCGGAGTTTCACATACCCCCGGCATCATTTCTGCATATTTTTTCGAATATTTCGCTACATTTTTCCCTTTAATTAACAGCCAGTGTTGAAAACTTTGCCTTGTTACGAACGAAATTTTTTGTTTTTTATTCTAAACTTGTACAATGCAGAAGTTGGATATGGACGCCGTGGTAGAACTTACGAAACATTATTAAAGGCGTGAAACTATGGGCGGTAGACTTCCGAGTAAGGAGGGTTGACAGTTCTCAGGGTTAATTTATGATCTGACCTAGCAAAGTTGGCAGGTAAGAAGGTCGCTACAAAGTAATCGAACACGTAGCACGTAACACCTCGTATTCTATTTCTTTTATCTTAAAACTGTCAAAATAGCGGGTGAAATGTAACTAGGAAAGTTACTTTCGAAAATAATTTTTTCTTAAATTAACATCTAAGGTTACAAATTCTCTTTTAATCTGTTAATTAAAAAATTAAAATTCACGAGTATGCAATTGAAAACCAACGAAAACTTTTATTTGTTACATTTGTTTTAATTCTTAATGTGAATGTAGTATACTTTGTATTAGATATAATACAATAAAACCTGAACCTAACCTAACTTACAATTAGTCTCACACTTGGCGTTCTCAAATATGTAATACATTAATATACAGATATCATTTTATTTTATTCTCGAGTGTACAATTAAAAATCAGTGAAAATTTCAATCGTTCGCTTTGTTTCAGTTTTTAATGTAAATATGGTGTACTTTGTATTTAATAGAAAAATGTATAACCTAACCTAACACCTGACATTCCCAAAATAATACGTTAATGGTGAATCACTTTGTTCAATGGCAATTTTACACGTATTTCGCAACAAGACCTCCAAGAAACGCAGCAATCCCACTGTACATTAACAAAATTTGCTTCCCAAGTGTGCAACAGATGTCGAACATCCCTCTCCCTGCAGCTTCCAACGAAATCAACATTTATACACACACAATGACAGTCCATTGGCGTTTCTATCCCATATGATCACGGTCCATCTGCCTTTTCAACAGCCACGATGACACTTCATCGATCTTTCCAACACAAACGCACATCGACTACATTCGATCAAAATCGCGTATCTACTCGCGCAATGTAAAATAAATGTCTCTTCCAGTGCTTTTAACAACACGATTGAACATTTGAATATGCGCATCGATGGACTCGTCGAATTTTCAATGCACGGAATAGTACTTCAATCAGTCTTTCCGGTGCATCGCGCCACGTTCCGTTAAAATTACGCTTCTATGTATACGTACGAAATGAAAGGAGTATACACCCTTTAATGTTTTTTAATAATGCCCGCCTACCATCATCGTGTGTATAATGGCGGACCATCCACCCTCTTTTCGTGCAATACACGTTACGCCATTAAAGGAATCCTCTTTTTTAAACGTTTTCAAGTGTTTCAAACGCGCGCTCTTCATCGGTTATTCATGTGGGAACGGCGATTTTATGAAGTTTTGCGCTCCGCTCTGCGAGCCGTCTCGCGTTTGCATCGAGCACGTATGCACGCATGCATCAGCTACGCGTTGTGTAAAATACTATGGCAAAGGAGACAAAATGGGCGAAGCTGTTTACGGAAACATTTACGGAAACTTTTTCCCTATATGCAGAATCATCTTTGTGTCTGGAATTTAAATCACGCATCGGTCCGCGGGATTTTCACAGCTTCTTTTCCACGTAAAACTAACTTCTGACAATTTTTAATTGCACAGTGATGTTAATTTCAGCTGAAAAATATTCAATTGTTCCTAGTACGTGATTAAAAATTTTTAATTCAGCATTGTACTTTTTCGTACCAATCTTGATCCGGACAAATTTTCAATATTCGTCAACTTTCATTCAACCTCTGGTTCAAATATGTTCAAAACGAATTTTTAATCGCATGCTGCCGTTATGGGAGGTCGTTAAATTTTAAATTGCGTATTATCTTTGCAGCAGAGTCGAGCAATTTTTAATATAAAAATTCCGGATTGCAAATCTCTCTTGAAAATTTTTAATAAAGAAAAAAGTGCTCAAATTACACTAACTTCCTCATTTTTGTCTATTTAATAACAATTCAATGTTTATAAAACGAAATATGCAAAAACATCTATTTTGGGTTCTATTTCAAGTCTATTCTTTCTCAGTCAAAGTATAAATTCCTGATTGCAAATCCTTGGTAATTTTTTAACAAAGAAAAACCTTTCTAATTACATTAGTTTCCTCATTTCTGCGTATCTAAGGATAGATAAAAATTTAGAAAAAGGAAAGTATGCAAAAGATCTATTTTCGGTTCCATCTGAAGTCTATTCTTTCTCAATCACTCTAAATCTGTCGTCAAAGAACAGGTCCAAAGCGAACTATTATCCATGTGATTCGTCGATCAGGAGGCCAGAACTTGGACTTGGAATCTTTTGGTCACGCTTGTTAGGTTTACGTCCGTTTCACAAATCAGCCGCGTCAGTCATGGTAGCCGATGACATGTGTTTGACACACTGTAACAGACTTCCTTTTGACACGACCGCAGGCTGCTATATTAACGCGGCCCGGACAAAGATAAGAAAAAGGATGAGGAGGCAGAATACTCGAGGCACTGCGGATTCTACGATGACATGAAAGCATCTAACTGCAAGGTGTGCCTGTTTCTTTGAGGAATCTCGACAAGTATCGAGAAATAGCGCGACTGCTACAATTTTCCTCGGCGAATGGAAAAGAAATGATAAAAACTTCTCGAGCTGCTGCTAGCTGGTTACCTTGAAATTTTTATATTTCTTTTCCAACACTTTTTACACAGCGGTATTTATTCTAACTTTTTTTCTTGTATCCATCGCAACTTGGAATTCAATGCAAACGTTGAATGAAAATCGCGAGGATGGAATAGAGAAATGATAAATGTGAAAATAGAACGATGTAATGATAATACAGATAATGAAATGATAATGAATATACAGATGAATAGAAAGGAGATGGAAATGAACGATAATTATAAGGATGAAATGAGAAGATAGGTAAAAATTGGAAATAGATAAAAATTGGAAATTGGTAAAATTAAAAAAATGAACGAAAGTTGCGATAATAAAATAAGAGAATGGATGAAAATTGCAACAATAAAATTAAAGAAAAATGAATGAAAGTTGCGATAATAAATTTAAAAGAATGAACGAAAGTTGCGATAATAAAATAAGGAAAGTGGATGAAAATTGCAATAATAAAATTTGAAAAAAAAAAAAAAATAAACGAAAGTTGGGATAATAAATTTAAAAGAATGAACGAAAGATGCGATAATAAAATAAGAAAAGTGGATGAAAATTGCAATAATAAAATTTGAAAAAAAAAATGAACGAAAGTTGCGATAATAAATTTAAAAGAATGAACGAAAGATGCGATAATAAAATAAGAAAAGTGGATGAAAATTGCAATAATAAAATTTGAAAAAAAAAAAATGAACGAAAGTTGCGATAATAAAATAAGAAAAGTGGATGAAAATTGCAATAATAAAATTTGAAAAAAAAAATGAACGAAAGTTGGGATAATAAAATAAGAAAAGTGGATGAAAATTGCAATAATAAAATTTGAAAAAAAAAAATGAACGAAAGTTGCGATAATAAATTTAAAAGAATGAACGAAAATTGCGATAATGAAATAAGAAAAGTGGATGAAAATTGTGATAATAAAATTAAAAAAAAATGAACGAAAGTTGGGATAATGAAATAAGAAAAGTGGACGAAAATTGCAATAGTAAAATAAAAGAGTGACATTGGCAAGGGTTCCTCGCAATTCGCGCACCGTTCCGGTGAAACAGCCGTATCGTTTAAAATGGCGGACGTTAATGTGGCGAGAAAGCACCGTGAGAAGCCATGATAAATCCTTGTTCCAAATATTAGGCGATATTGTGACGATTTTCTCCGGCCGGTTGGCAACTTGTCAGAGATCGTTACGGGCGAACAGGCTGTTCGAGCCTGGCGTAAAAAGGATAATTAATGACGATAACGGTGAAGGGTGAAGATAAAACGGTCCGCTCGATAGGAAGTTCGTTCAAGGATGTAACGTTGCCCGCAGGAAGGTTGCTGCGGCACGAAGCGTAAATAATGAAGAGTTATGAATCGCGAAAGTCCGTGGCTGTGTCCAGGGGGATCGATTCTCGGTTAAGTAACTTTTAATTAAAACGCTTCTTCGCTGATAGCTTTCCTTCTCGTCGTAGCGACATTGAAATCTCGAATTATTCTCAAACTTCGATACAAATAAAACCGAAGAGAAACGAAATTCGCGAGGTGGACTGTAGGCATCCGATGAAACTCGACTGAATTGAATTTAATTTAACTTTTATTCAAGTCGACTCGAACTTGCTTTAATTGCCTAATATTTATTACGATACCTATAACAGCTTGATGGAGAATTTGAACAGAGAATTCGACAGTTCTTATTTTTATTCGATTTTATCATCAATTTATTCGAAAAATATAGAATCTTGTGTACGAAGAAAATTTGTACATCATAAAAGAAAATCCACCATTCTACATGGTATCTGAACACAACGTCATACCATAAATTCGTGGAGAATTTTATACCGAAACTTGGATCAATATTTCAAACACACCGTTGAATTTTATGAAAACACTTAATCGCCTACTCCTTCCTCAACTTCTTCCCACTTTTCTGGTAGAGTTATTACGCCATCCCTATAAAAACCCCTTGCCTTACAACAGCGAGTCAGACTCGTGGCACAGATTCCGATCAAGATGCGACAGAAACAGTCATATCAGAAAGAAAAATGAACTTTAAGTTTAGTTCAGGTTTCAATTTACAAGACTGAGGATTAACAAGCGTCGCTAATCTACAATACATTCCCCTTTCTTACCTAATACAGCACTAAAACAGCAAATACCTAACGCTTAGATGCACAATGAAAAAAAAAAATCACAAGTCAGGAGGTTAAAATGACATTACTTTACCAAAAAGAAAAATCTAATTTAAATCCAACGATACTTCGTACAAAACCATAACTAACGAACCTCGCGGCAACCAAGTTAAGTATGTAATTATCTCTCTGAAACACCCTTCGTCAAAGATATACAATCCATCGAGAAGAAATTAGACCCGGTATAAATACCTCGATCCACGTTCGAAGTGTCCTTTTATACCCCGAGTTTCTCCAGGGTTCGTTTAAAGTAAAATAAAAAAAGAAACGGGGGAAAAGGTTGATCGTGAAAAGTGAACGCCTTGAACTTCATCCTCGGAGCACCGTGCGAGCAACACGTGGCAGAGAGAGAGAGAGAGAGAGAGAGGAACTCTGGGGAAAATGTTTTAATAATAAATCCTCCGATCGACCACTTACCAGTGTGATCAGTGTGACGCTGATGATTCCTGACGTACGGAGGTGCCGGATGCCTGGTCTGCATGTTCCAATAGGAGTTACCGAAGTTATTGACCCGCGGCTGCTGCGAAGACGAAGTTTGCTTGCAAGGCAACCTAGCCATGGCAGTCATCATTTTCTTCTAACACCCCACACACGCGGCCGAATTAATCAGTTCATCGGTAGCCTGCTTTGTTGCGCCGTCGTTTCAACCCCATTTTCGAGCCCTCTGCTCCCTGAAAAAAAAAAAAAAAACGAGCCAGATTAATTGGCTGAAACCGATGCTGAAGCTGCTGGCTTTTCTCATCTTAACGCGGAACATCAATTTTACTTCTTCTTCTTTTCTTCTCTTCTGAAATATCTTGGCTATCGATTGTACAAACTGTCACGTGGATTTTCGTACAAACTTTACCAATATATTTCAGGGGGTTAAAGTTACAGCGTTGTAAGTCACAATTTTCTTAGTCTGAGAAATGGAGAGTGTTACTCGAAATGATTATATAAATTTCACAGCGTCGAATATGGTTCTGTAGAGTATTCGATGATACCAGAAAGTTTGACCCAATTGTAACTTACTTCACTTGTCTTTTTAACAGTTGGGTACGTGTAGGTTGCATTTTACCAATTAGGTCCGAATTTTCGGAAATGTGAGTTGCACCACTGTGACTTTAATCCTTTTATTTGAGAATGATAAGTGAGTTTGTAGATGTTCCGTGTTCTAACTGATCATTACGTACTGCGGGATTTTCCGTATAATTTAAAATGAAAATTTCGGTCCAACAAATTCGTAAAGTGAGAACTACCTATACATGTAAAGGGAACATTAGGTATAGAGTGTCGAATTTCGTGCAAAATTAATTGCAAACCGAACTTCCTCGTCAGTTTGGCCAATTTGCAATATTAATTCGGCGAATGCAAATTGTATCAACGAAAGACGCGAATCTCGTTTATCTATTCTTAACCTGAGATCAGTTTACTATCAGACCAAGTCAAGTAAAAAAGAAAATTTCTCAACTCAGATTACAGAGATATTTTTTTTTTAATTTCAAGTACAGATAGTTCCTGCCTTTACGAATTCATTGATTTCTGGCAACCGTTCGTAAAGCGGGATTCCCCGTACAATTTAAAATAAAAATTCTGATCGAAGAAAAAATTCGTGAAAATAAAAATTCTGATTCAAAGAAATTCGTGAAGATAAAAATTCTGATCCGAAAAAGTTCGTGAAAATAAGAATTCGTAAAACGAGAACTGCCTGTATTTTAGACATTTAAACCACCACTTAGTAGGGCTGCCAACTTAAATACGTAGCTAACACGTTTTCATTTTTATTGTCTTCCATTCTACCACAATGAATTGTTTAATAATTGAACAATTCGTTACACTCTGTATTACACGACAATAATTTCTTTTTGAAAATTGTGTTTGGATGCTAACTAATTGACATTCAAGTGTTCAAACTATTAAACGATCGCGTCTTGTCGCTAGGATAAATTGACTTGATTAAAAAGATGGTCGAAGCAGATGCACAGAGGAGCACAAAAGAATCGACAGCAGCCTGTTAAGCATTTAAACCAACCGTACGGCCTTAGGATTCGTCGCAACGATCTGTTTTTCGGTCACAATGAAGCCCCGGCATTAGGCTACCTGCATTCACAAGGGATAACAGTATTCCTGCTTTGAATAAATACAACTCTATAGCTACTGGTATCTACGTTTCAGTAAATAAACCCCATTCGTGTCTTTCGTAAGTTCATTAGCAATTCAAAGCAACTATTAAACACTTAACAGGGAGCTAATGCTGCAAGTAACAATAGAAAGACACCCTAAGGAATATTCAATTATTACTTTGTAAGTACCTATTTATGAGATAACCCTAAATTCATTAGTGTTTCAGTCATACCATCGTATCACTTCGACGAGGCGGTTAAATTTAGGGAAAAAATATGGAACACTCTATTCTTCTGACACGAAAAATTTCTAATTTAAAATTGTCAGGTTTTGTACACGAATAACGAAAATTTGTATATTAACGTAAATTAATAAATTAAAAATTTGTACGTTAAAAGAAATTTGAAAAATTTCTAATTTTAAATTGTGAGACTTAGTACACGAACAACGAAAATCTGTATATTAACACTTTACCGACCGATAGCCTATTAATCGGCTTTTTGTCGCCAACACTTACCGACCGGTAGCCTATTAATCGCTTTTTTACCACCGACGCTTTTCGACCGGTAACCTATTAATCGGTCAAAGTTTGATTTAACATTTCTATAGGTATAAGAAAAAGCGCATATATTCCCGCGCGAAAGCCTAAAGTCTAAACAGAGCCGGTGTCAGCGATGTATCTGTGGCCGAGTGAGCGGTCGGAAGTGCGTAGGATGTTCAACCGCTACCGGTCGGTAAAGTGTTAAAATAAATCAACAAATTAAAAATTTGTATGTCAAAAGAAATTTGAAAAATTTCTAATTTTAAATTGTGTGACTTGATACACGAATAACGAAAATTTGAATATAAAGCAAATTTCAAGGAACAGAGGGATTACCTCTTTTTACACAAATCATGAATAACGAAGTCATTCCTTTGATTAAAACATTCATTCCCTCGGCAGAAAGGTAAAATCTTCGACTTCTTCAGCTATGACAACATAATTACTACAGACTTCAACTAGCTGCAGAAATATAAATGCAGATATTCTCTACCGAATGATACGAAGATTGTAATTTTCCCTTATAATTGAAAAGCTGCCTGTCTCTCAACCTGTATAAAGTGTACGTGAATGAGAAACGCGTAATGTACAATGAAATTCCAATCCATTAGAATATCATTTGTATTCCGCGATCCGAATAATATCACATCGTTATCACGTCTTACGGCACAATTATAATATTCATGGCAATTCAATCAGAACGTTGTTAAAATATCATTCAGATCTCATTTACACCGTTGGTTCGCTACGAATCCGATTACAATCACGTCGAATATCATTGCGATCACAGTGCTTGAATTCTGTCAATGAGCCACCATCTGATCACAGTAACACAGACACGAAATGTTGCATATTATTAGACTCAACGCGATGCGTGCGTATCATTCACGAATTTTCAGAAATATCGGAAATATCAAGAAATTTTCTTTTTAAATATAATTTAAGGTTATGTTAGGTTATGTGATACGAAACGTAAATTATTATACTCAACACGATGCGTGCGTATCATTCACGAATTTTCAGAAATATCGGAAATATCAAGAAATTTTCTTTTTAAATATAATTTAAGGTTATGTTAGGTTATGTGATACGAAACGTAAATTATTATACTCAACACGATGCGTGCGTATCATTTACGAAATATCAGAAATATCAAGGAATTTTTTGTTAAATATAATTTAAGGTTATGTTAGGTTATGTGATACGAAACGTTGTAAATTATTAGATCCAACACGATGCGTTCGTATCATTCACGAATTTTCGCAAATATCAGAAATATGGAGGAATTTTTTTTAAATATAATTTAAGGTTATGTTAGGTTATGTGACACGAAACGTTGTAAATGATTAGATCTAACACGATGCGTTCGTATCATTCACGAATTTTCAGAAATATCAGAAATATCACGAAATTTTCTTTTTAAATCTAATTTAAGGTTATGTTAGGTTATGTGATACGAAACGTTGTAAATTATTAGATCCAACACGATGCGTTCGTATCATTTACGAATTTTCTGCGGAAACATCGAGGAATTTTTCATTTTTTAAATGTAATAGTTGACAATTATTCTATATTTCGCGATAAAGGTTTATTCTACGGATAAGGTAGATTGCTTTCTCGAGATTTTCTTCCGTTTCAAATATTTCTTTAACCCTTCAACGCTCGCGTTTTTCTCAACTTGATGTGTCATATAAGATCAATTTTTTATTTCTTTTTTAATTACCTCCTATGCGTATAGAAATAAATTTCCCATTATTTATAATGCTGTAACTTACTTCTTCGCCGCAATAGAAATATAAATCTTGCAAAATTATGACAAAATACGTACAAGAAAGCTTCCATTACCCTCCGTTTCAATAACTTCAGGATGAATGTCCCGAGTAATATTTCATTTTATATTCAAATTACGAAGCTTATAAAACCACTCGGATTATGCAATCCATTCATGAAACATTACATTTCCTCGAAACAGGTGCCCTTTTATAAGAATTCACGTCGTCTGTAGCAAGAGAGAAATACCATTCAAACACCGATTCGTTCTGAAACGTTCGAATAATAACATTCTAGAAGAGATCGATCCGCGTCGCGATCGGTACCGCAATTAAAACGGCCACCATAAATCAAGTCCAATACCGGGAACAGTGAAAGCACGCCGGAGCATCTTCGTAACAGATTACCAGGAGCATAACTGTTCTAGGAAAACATGACACACGCGGTGAAAGCGATCGAGAAACTGTTTGAAAAGTAAACTAAAACAAAAATTAGATATCGATGGGAAATGAAACGATCGACCAACTGACTTTCCTGAGAAAGTGTTCGAAGATTTTCGCCAGGAAAGTTCAACCGTTTCAAGGATATCTTCATATTTTCAAAGATATTTTCATGTTGCCTGTTGATTTCAGAATCGAGATAAATTTTACGGAAAACTTTCAAAGAAACGTTTCAAATTTTTCACAAAACTAAACGAGTAGAATTTACGTCTGATAATTGTGACAAACGTGTCTTCGACGCTCTATATTGATAAATTTGAACGAGTCGAACGAATTTACAGAAAATTTTTACAAAAAAATTTGCAATTTGTCGCAAAACTAAACGAGCAAATTTACGCGCGAAAATCATCACGAATATTTCTTCGACGCCCTATACCGATGAATTTGAATGAGTTGAACGAATCGTACGAGTTTTGTTGATTAAAATGGAAATAATTGATAAAGGACGTAAATTACATGGATGATACTGTTTATCGCGGATGTAATAAAGAAAATTGATTTACAACTTTGCCTTTTGTGAGATCGCATGGTTCTTTCTAGCCCTGGCAGCGAGAATATTAAGATAAGGATATCAGGGATTAAATGGCTACTTTACGAGGCGTAGAAAGCAAGGGAATCGGTCGATTAGACAGTTGAAAGGAAAATCGAACACGAATTTTTAGTATGTCAAGTGAATGCTCTGTC